ATTTTTTTATTATTTTGTTTTCAATTTTATTTCCCACTTTCAAAGATTTATACAGGAAATAGATAAACAAAACAAAACATTTTGAGTGTTTCCTATACTATACAAATATTTAAAAACATAAAACAAATTGAAAACAAGGTAGCAATTTTACAATTAGAAAGCGAAAACCGAAAATGAAATGAATAGCAACTAAACGGATCTAAGAGTAAGTTTGTGAAAGAGCCATTATTTATGAAGAGAACGTATAAAAGTGTTGGAGTTATTTTATTAGTATTTGTTTTAGGAGATATTTTATGAAAATTATTTTTATAAAATTATTATATAAGCATACTCAACAATGATGAGATATTGTCCGCTTTAAGTTTAAGCTTTTATGATTTTACTTTTGATCATCACTTAATTATTAAAATATGTTTATATTATATAAATTGTTATTTGTTATCTTATTTTATTGATGTGAGATTTGTTTATATTTTAACAAAAAGTCACGCCAACTCATAAAAGCACATGTACATACATAATATAAGTGATGCCAAATCTTTTTACTGTTTTATTTACTATAATTAAATACCGTAATATGCGTCTGTTTCGGTGACATTAGTTTCGACTAATTTTGACCACATGAGAGTAATATTGCACGTATTTCATATTCAAACTTTTAACTGCATTTTAGTTTTTGATTTTGAGGTTGCGTTTGTCTTAACATTGTTCGTATTGCTTTTTAAGATAGGATTGGTTTGAGACTTGAGTAAATGAATCTGACCCAACAACCATAAGAGGCCCTAAAGGAATGAATAAACGTAAATGAAATATCTGGAAGCGCTTTAAAATCTGGTCATCAAAGAAATGGGGAGGATGGTCTTGTACGCCACTCACCTCTATCATATCTTACACGCTACACTTTTTACCTCTTCACAAACACACAACATGTGTACAATGCGAACCTTCTTTTGAGACATATAATTAGTTGTATCTTACAAGAATTGTATTCTGGATATCAATCTCCAATGCTTCCATACTTGGGATCTTAATTTTCTTTTATCTAATTCACGTATGTTGACACAATGACATGACAAAAATGTTCATAAAAAATGTCATGGCAAATGAAGCACAAGATAAGTCGGAATTTTTACCAACATAGCCTTGGAATTTTAAGAAACATTGTTGATTTTTTAGCCCCATAAAAATTAAGAAATTAAATAATCGTGACTTAAACATCTTTTTCTACTATGAAATAAGTTATTATAATTCATTTTTGTTTTTAGTCTCTATTATGACAATCTTTTTACCGTTTAAGATGACGTGTCAAACATTTAGATATTGTTTTAAGTGAATTTAAATCACTTAGCATTTGACACGTTATGTAAAATACTTAAAAAATATATATCACAGTAGAAAATTAAAAAAATTATTAGACTAAAAATTAAGTAAAAAAATTTAAGGACAAAAAAACAAGATATTTTAAATACCAAAGAGATATTTAAGCCGATAATAATTTGAGAATAGACTTTACTTTATCATACATCAACGTATATCCAACAATTATAGATCAGACAGAACCCGTTCCATTATTTTTGAGTTATTCATCATTCAATATGAAAAACGTGAGAGAAGGCCACACTTGCAAGACATGCTAACTGGGTATCAGTACCTTACTTTTTGGCTTTAGCAATGAAGAAACAACTATTTATTCACTTGATTAAAAATTATTTGTGTCAAGATATCTATTTACTTTAAGATCAAGTTTCGACATACTTAATTTATTAAATATTTTTATAAATATTAAGTTTCATCTAGGTATCAGATTGAAGGTTTAAATGTAATTGTCAATGAAAGCATATATATCACCATGTAAAATAAATACCTATAATTATATGAAATCTGAAAAAATAAAATCCTTTTACAATCTCAATACCGGAACTATTTTTCAGGGTAAATAAAGTGTCATCTAACTTTTTAGAATGAAAGTTTATTAAAAAAAAAAAAGCTTCTATTTAATAAAATATTCCGCTACTAGTAGAAAAAATATTATTACACCTCACGATATCTACGTTGATTGTGTCATATCCAATGCAATAGAAGGCATAGTGACATTTTGTAATTTTTGCAATTTTTTTACATTGGTTTGTTGTACAATTGACATAGAAATGAAGATATATTGTGTTTAGTATCTTTTTCTCGTTACTTTCATTCTTGTGATTTGGTGTTTATATCTCACCACTTCTCTGTCATCGTTCGAGACCTCATTTATTATCCATGCTCTGCTTTTTGTCTTTGCAAAGACTTCTTATACTATTTCGATCATTCTCTATACCTGTGTCATCTTGTTCTTTGTAGCCATTCTGCACTCGATATGTTTTCAAAAAAAAAATATTGATGTTGTTTGGTGGATGTTTGATGTGCATTACACGTTCTAGTTGATTTTTGATATTGTATGTGTTATTGCTAATTTGATATTTATTGTTGTACTCTAAAGTGTTCATAGAAATCCCTAATTTTCATTTTGGTTTAATTTGGCTTAATTAGTTTCACTATAACCATATGCACAAAAATGTGTCTATAACTTGGATTATCAACTTAAGCATCACAAAAATGTGCCTTTGGTTTAGTGTCTACACCACCTTAGGCACCACAAAAATGTGCTTATGACTTAAATTTGGACACCACCTTAAGCACAAGAATGTGCCTTTGTCTTAGTTTGGACACCACCTTAAACACCATAAAACTTAACCATATATATACCTTAGGTACCACAAAACTTAGTCATGTACCTTAGTTAGTGTAGGTTAGTAAACTAGCTAATTAGTATAGTGATTTAGTAAAATAAAAAATTATTTTATTTTATTATATTATTAGTTAGCTAAATAGACTAAGTCATGTAGTTAATTAGTGTAACTTTTTAGTTAGTGAATAATATTTATTTAAGTTAGTTTAGAATCATAGTTATTTACTTTATTCCATTATAGTAGTTAATTTGGTATAGTTTAATTAGCTATACCCTAAAAGCTTTGCTTATACAATTTTTAATTAGTTAAATTAAATTAAAATTAACTTAAATCCAATTAATTAAAGGTAGCGCGTATTAAGTTTAATTAAATTAATTACACATGCTTAATTAGGTTATACCTACTAATTAATTAGGTCCTTAACAAATTAGACTTACCCAATAAACATAGTCTATAATGAATTTAAATAAAAGTAAATTAAATAAAATTAATTAAACTTAATTAGCCTATACTATAAATTTAATTATTTTAATTACGTATACCTTATATATTAAATTAAGTCATGTTTAATTAGATAAAATCACTTGAGTCTAATAGTAAGAGATTTAAGTTGTATACACTAGTTATAGATTTTATATTCGAATCTTGATACTATTATTATAATTTCTATAGATAAAAAATGGTTTAATCAAGTTTAAGTTATATTAAATATACAAAGGTTAGTAAGAAATTTTTATTAATAGTTAGGACGGGTAATTTAATAATTTTATTTATTAATTATATTTTAATTTTCATTATAGTTGATGTGATACGTGTTTATGTGTTTTAAATTGAATTTTTATTGACTATATATATATTTTATATTTAAGTTTTGGAAATAAAACTTGATTGGTAAGATATTTTCTTCAAATTAGAAATATGTAAGATTTTATGTATATGTTTTAGAAATTGTATACTTTAGGTTATTTTAGCTCACATTGTAAAAGTTTATTAGTTATGTATGGAAATGTATGTACATGTTTAGTCTATGAGTTAGAGACTATTTAGAAGTAATTTAAAAGAATATTAGTATTTTAATTTATATATTTTTATGTCATTTTTTATTTTTTATAATGAAATAATTATTTTGGATTACAGTATATATCGATCATTGCATTTGTTTGGGATAATTTTTGTATTACATGTTGTGATTTGGACCTTAAAAAAATATATTAAGAAAAAGTCATATTATATGTCGATTATAACATTAATCAACATATATGACAAATTTTACGTCAGTTATTATATTCACATTCTTAGAGTTAGCCATTTTTTTAGTCAATTATTGTATTAATTGGCATAAAAATTTGGATACTTCTATGTCGGTTTAAAGTTTCTATATCAACTCACTGATCAACATAAATGTTCATTTTAACGATTTAGAAAACCCTCTCCTTATTAGTTCATTCATTAATAAATAGTCTGATCAACATAAATTATATTTCACGAATATAAATTAATCTTTAAATTTTAATTCACAATCGTATATATAATTTATGTATTATCTTAAAATTAATAATTAAAAATTAGTTTATACTTAAAAAATATAATTTATATTGATTAAATATTATTTTAAAGTCGATAATCGTAAAATTTAAAATCGTGTAGTTACGTCGATCGAAAGTATCTACAATTATATTGGATGTGAAGTTAAATTCAAATTTCGTATAATTTTTACATAAACAATGTGTATATTAATTATTCTTAAATATTTTAAGGTGGAAATGTAATTTTTTTTCTTCTTTCTATTCTGGTCCTAAAGTTAAAACCTGAAGCAGTTACTTGCATGTAGACTTGTTATAAAATAGCAACTGGAAAAGTGCAGGAAACCGCAAAGCCTCCCATACTCAACTTTTAGCCTTTTCCCTAC